AAGTTAAGAAAATAATGTTTAATCAAAATTGAGGTATTTAAAATTGACCTGGTAACAAATAGGAGAGGTCATTTCCTCTGGCTTTGATTGCGAAGGTCATATTAAAGTTAAGTCAAAGAAAAAGTATCTTATCACAGTCGGCAGCTCGCCAGCTTTAAAATCTAAAATTATTCCAGAAAGGGGGGGTGAGAGGCAGGGCCTTTTATGTTTGTTGACAATAGGTTGGTAGCTGTCGGTGCGAGTCGCCGTCAAAGCAAGCCCAAGCGGGGCTGGTAGTGAGCTCTCTTTTGGATCCACTCCAGGTGGCACGAGTCCCACGTGTACTATCATTAATATGAATCTATTCATAGAGGATGGAAATGGAGCCTTCAGATGTCTTGCCTAAGCTCTGCTATATGCTTCCAGTGCTACAGAGTGACATTGTGGTCATAATCCGATACCTCAACAGATGCTAGGATTTCACCGAGCGGAGCACAATTTTTAGCTGTTGTGGACATTGCTCGCTATTCTCCTGGGATGGTTCAGCTACAGTCCAGTGTTGTGATAGAGTGGGAATGTTATTATGACACTGCCTCTCTCTCTGTCTCCCTTTGTCACTCCAGTTTGCAGACTGGTGCATGAACTATGGCAAACATGGATGCCGAACACCAGACACTCCCTTCTCCCTTTTTGAAGGTAATATGTGATGACAATGTGTTTCCTGCTTGCTAAAAACGTCCTGTTATTATAATGCTTGGTTTGTTACAGATATTATCAAAACCCTGAAAGAACTAGTTATCAGCAACGCCATACAGGACTGCCACCCCTGTGTTGATGAATATACAACATGTTGAACTTGTTCTTATTCACATACATATTAGGCAGATTAAAAAAAGATATATATGTATACTCTGTACCTAATTAAGAGGTTAATGGGACTAATAGTAAGTGTGCTAACTGAAAATTGAACAGGGATTGCAGTTGGAAACAAAAAAAAACACCAGCTGAGGGATATATACACTATACACAACTACATTTAATATGTTAATGAAAAGCCCAAAATATATTTCTTTAGAGGTGGAAACACAAATGGTAACTGAAGACGTGGCTACACATGACAATGTGACGATTTACACTGGATCAAATAGTCAACTTGTTGTTTTTGAGAGACTTTTCTGTATCATACTGTACTTCATTAGTCACCAGGAGCTACCCATTTTATCTTGGAATGGAAATATTGGACTAAAAAAAAGGAAATTAACTTATTGTTCTAGAGATGTTTTCCTGGAAAAAAGATATAAATTATTAAATGACTGTGGCAACAAACAACACCGGCAGTGAAGAACTACAGCATCAAAAATGACCATTAAGTTGACTACAGACCATATTAAAAACAGTCTAATATGTAGGGCTGTGTACTGTCTCGTAATGTGTTGCATTCTGCAGCACTGTAGCTGTAACCTCACCATGTCACTTCCTGTTTGTAGGCATGGCCGGCACCATCTACTTCTTGGCCGACCTTCTGCAGCCAATGAAAGCAAGGTTCCCAGCTTTTGAGGTGTAGAAGTGTCTCCACAGGTAGTCCTCCCCCACCCACACTGTGGGAAAATATAACCAGAAGAAGACCCACACTTCTGCTCTCTGTCACGCTCATGCATGAAAACACTTCATTTCATCTTCATAAATTAAATTCTGGGACTGACTTTGATTCCCACTTCACACGTTGTGCCATGTTTTTCCTGCTCTTTCTCTTCTGGGAACTTGACATGTTATTAACAGGATGAATCCTATGCTCACATCTCAACTACATAATTATCTCAAAGATGTGTCAAAAGTGGGAGCATCTCTGGCTTTTTGTGTATAAATGAAACTCTTTGCTTATTAATTACAGCTGTTGCTCAGATTGTGTCGTCGTATAAGGGTTTAAGCAAAAAAAAAAAAAAAGGAAACAAATTTTCATTTTTAGTCAAAACATAAAATTAAATTGTGGGAAAATTAAATGGGGTTTTGTTAGGACTTATCTGTATATTCTGTCGGTTTGATATGTTAAAAAAAAAAAAAGAAAAAGAAAAGGAAATGGATGCTTTAGTTTGCTATTCTGTTAACAGCAAAGCTAGTTACACTGCACTAAATATAAAACAGTACAAGCTGTGTCATGTGTTTAGGGATTAACCCCAAAGTGTAAACTGTTGCCTGTCCTTTGCACTGTCTGAGCAATAAATCATGTGACTTTTTTCAGCTGTTGCTCTGTAGTGAATTTTACCTCCTGCTCTTGTTTTGGTGTAGCTCTGCAGCAGCAAAGAAAGGCCACAAGGGGGCAGCAGTTGTGTGAATGAATATCTGACAGTTGACCTCCAGTTGGCAAATGAAGTATATTTGTTGGCACCAAGAGACATTTACCTTGAGTCACTTCACAAATACGTTACTTGAATTTAACATTTTATGCTAATCGGGTTGAATTTTCCATTTTCAGTGGAGATGTATGAGGGCATATGAGATGAGATCTGTGTCCAATGTCCATGGTTGTGATCTGCTCTGGCTTCTTTATGTTAGGAATTTTCTTTGTAAACTCTGAGATAACACAGAAATGCAGGAGATGTACACATTTGACAGCAAGATGTCAAAATACTAGAAGTTCAATCATACGTAGCCTTAAAAAAAAATCCTTAAAACACTAATTTTAAGACAGTTCACAAATGAAGCCATATTCCAGTGACAAATGTCTAAAATCCTCTGTCCCTTCCTCCATGGGCCTCTTGGCTTAACTGGTTTTGTCTCTATTCCAAATAAGGCTTACGTAACACCACTGAAAACTAATCGGCGACACAATGCCACCGCTCTTTTTAAAGCCCCTTGCCAACGCTTCTTTATGACCTGACGCCAGCTGGGGTCTTGGAGGGTTAGTGGGATTGGATGGGGAGGTGGTTACTGTACTGGGGGAGTCTTGAGGAGCAGGAGCGTTCATTTCTCTCCACCCCCATCCCCAAAGAACCCGGACCAGCCAGCGTAAGAGAAACTGAACACCTCGGGCAGGAATGGGAGTAAAAATAGAGCTCATCTGTCCTGGGGGAGTGGTCTCCCGGACATGTCTTTCACTCTGGTTTACTCACTCTCACAAATGTCCTCCAGCTCTTTCCCTTCTGCTCTATAGCCGTGGGACATGACTGATGATTAGTTAGTCCGGCAGCAGGTACAAAAAGATGTAAACGTTTAAATTTGCACATATTAGCTGAATGTTTTTTAAGCAGCCCAAGGTTTTTGGTCCATAAAAGACACTGTACTATGAATAAAGTACAGTCAGGGAATTGCTTGCAAAGACAGATTTTACAACACCACAGAGTCAATGCAATTATAGAATTTCAATAATGTTGGTGAAATCATCATGCTTGTTAAATAATCTTAAATGTCTGAAATCTATCTGAATGTCCATGGGTAAAAATGCAATGGCAAGTGAGTAACTACTGTTTTTTGTTGAAGTGAATAATGGTCGGATGTCTCTATTAATTTTATAGATATTTTATAATATCTATTTTTAATTAGCTTAAAAGAGCCAAAAATGTATATGCTGAATAGGCAGTGGCCTCAGAGGCTTGTGTGGGAACTGCAGAGCTCAATAATTGGGATGCAGACTGCATCTCATACAGAGTACTTTAACCTTCAATGCAGTGAAAATTCATGAGTCAGCATGTGAATCTATGCACGCATTAAAAGATAAGCATAATTTTATGGGAGAGGTTTTGCAGTTTTAAAGAATAAATATGACAACAAAGGTGAGCATAAATTGACCCTAATGAAAAAAGTCTCAGGGTAAGTGACTCAGTATAACATGAGAGTGATGATCAAGTTACTATGAATGAGTTTGAGTTTCTCCAGTTAATTGGACCTTGAGTTGGGATTGTTTTGTCAAAAATGTTTCTTCCACTTGCAAGAATTAACTTTCTCTTACATTAAATAGTTCCACAGTACTTTCATTAACACCAGGCGGGGACCATCAAAATAAATGTTTCCCTTTTCCCTGATTTTGCATGGAACTGGATTCAAGATGAAATCCATCTGAAATGTACTCCTGTGAATTTGTTTTCTAGGAAGTGTTACAGTTTTGTTTAATGCATCTACTGCATAAATAATAGATTGATCTTGATGTTGCTATCAGCACCATGGAGAGCTCTGGTGGAGATGGGAAGGTTAGTGAAGCAGCTCAGTGCTCAGGTCATTTAACCTCCATAGATTAGGCAATTAAGTTTTTACTTCTGGGTTATTTAACCAATCGTAATCATTTTATAACCTCAATTTCACTCTCACACTCACAATCTAATTGTCTTCATTCAGTTGCATATGGAGTACATTACAAGACATTTTGATCAATTAAGGATAAGTCAAAGAAGCTGCTCATTATAGTGCTCAATTCAACAACAAAAAACATTAACTTTATAATTTATTTATTGCTTAAATGATAATCTGGTGCATTTTTTAAGAACAGGTCTATTGAAATGTAATGTCCATAAAGCTTATACATTAGTATTATGAAACCTATAAAGTTCAGTTCTTAAGTAAATGGCCACACAAAGTTGGCTTTTTTAATATCTGCCTGAAGAGAATCGACGGTTTTTGCCCTGCTGTTATTTAACCATAAGAGGAGGAGCAGTCTCACTGTTTAAAAATACCACCCTGTAAATGAGCTCTCTGGGCTTTGAGCCCTTCTGAAGAGGGCCACTAGATAGCTGAGTTTTCTGCAATTTCATTCACTGTTCAACTGCAACTCTCTCTAAAGAGAATACCTTCGATATCAAGTCAATGATATAATTTATTCTTTATAGAAATAAGTTTAAAAACAGTTTCAAATCTTTAGACAGAAGACGTAGTCTTGACACAGTTATTTCTACTTCTAAAAATATCCATGTCCCCTTCTAAAGGCCTACTCCCACTGCTCTCCCTTCCGTGTGCCCTAAGAAAGTTAAAGATGTTCCAACGTGTCATCTGATCCACCCTATTAGCATATGTGACATCACGTGCCTGGGATAAATAAGAGGGGGCTTTGACCATGGCTCAGGACCACTCTGTCTTGGGACTCCAGCTTCTCTTCTCCTTTCTTTCCTCCAGCTCCAACTCTCCAAAATGGTGTGTACAAAATTATGTTTTGGACGTTTTGGGTGGGGCAGTACCAATGGAGTTACTTCTTTTTTTTTGTGGAATGGGTTTGGATCTCATCTCTCAAAGATAATCCCAAAATTGGGACTTTATTGGCATCACTGAAATCGGGCTAGGGAAAAGAAAGCCTTTTTGATACTTCTCTAAAAAGCTTGTCTTTATTAATTGCGGGAAAAAAAAGTTTGGTTGAGTGGCCCAGGACCACCGCCTTGAAATACATCCACATTTCTATGATTAATGTCTGTGTAGGCTTATGTCTAAATGCAAGGAACCTATATTTTCACTATATTTCTTTAGTGCAGTTTTGGACAGTTTACAGCTATACATTCTTGTAAAAAATCTTACATAATCTGGGTATTTCTATACTCATAAACCATTTGTTTTTATTTGTTTCTCTGTTTTCCGTGTGTTTATGTATTCGTAAACGTACCTTTTTGTTTCGTGTATGTGTGTGGTTTTTCCGTGTATTTCTATGTGACAGACCGAGTTCACAGCAGACCAGATTGAGGGTAAGTGAGAAACGGCAAGATCAATCCTCATCCCTTATAAATATCTTAGCATGTGAACAATGAGAATCCCGCTCCTATCATCATCATGCAGAGTGACATTTACTTGCACCTTTACCAGCAGGAGAGCATGCCCTCCAAATTTTCTTCCACAAGCTCAGTCTGTAATTTTTTTAGCGAGGGATTTTGTCAGCAATTGTCACAATAAAGAATCTCTCAGAGTAGCTACGGGCCTGCCTATTTTAGTCCAAATTAACTAAGCCAAAAGGTGGAAGTAGGGATGAGGAAACTTCCAGACTGAAGACCACCATTGGACGTGCCATTCCAACAACTTGTCCAGTTGTCGTGGAGGATTTGAGATATGTCTATTCTAAGCCGACCTAGCCTTGTCTTGCAACCCACAGTGGGCCTTACACGGCAGAGGTGTTAATCTCCAGGCCAAGGTTTAAGATGCAGGTCTGGCGGCATCCTCTTACACAAGGAATCCAAACTGTGATCCCAAAGCCCCATCCCCAACCCTTTTGTTCAGTGCTGAAAGACGTGTCCTCTACAAACATTACCCTATGTTTGGTAGATGGCATTTGGCTCTTGCAGTTGATATGAATAGATGGTGTTTTTATGTATAGGTTTTTTTCTTGTGTTCCAGTATTATATGTTCAACTCGGAGTGAAAGATAAGTTCCCCAATTGGGCATGTTAGAATTGCAGTGCGATCAAGTTAATTTGTTTATATGGACTTTAAATTTGGCCAGCTTTGCACCCAAAAAAGAAAAAAGTTCTGCTTCTGCACATTCTGGTGCATTGATACCAATGGAATACGTGCAAGGTGTTGGTTACGTCGCAGTCAGCATTCTCATATAACTCGAGCAGCGACATGGGGCCATGCCTCTATATGGACTGCGTTACTTTGTCGGGGTGTATCAGTTTGCTCCTGATGTCGCCCTAAATTCCTCCCAAATGCAAGTGGAGACAGGAATGCAGAGGGGTTAGAGGAGGGGGCTGCTACGGCTGCTGCTCGGGAGCCACGCGAGAACATTAATCTATCAAAAAGGTCACTTTGAGTTGGCCTCCTTGTAGGATTCATAGAAATAGCTAACCTTTGGTAAGGCCCCAGTCGGTACCTTCCCTGTATCTGCTTGGGTACAGCTGTCGCTCCCCATTAGCTGAGAACAATGACTGAAGTATGTGGCTTCTACTGTCTTTGATCCTCCAGCACATATCTGCCATAGCTGACCAAGATCCCTGTAATAGAATAGAATAGAAAACCCAAAGGGGGCCTAAAAGAACATGGCTAGAATTCATGTCAATCAGACATATCAAATATGACCTTTTGATGGCAACATAAATCATGTGTTATTTGTTCTTTTGACCGACTTGTGTCAGTACTTTGTGACTCAAAGTTCTCTCTTAACTCTCCCCACCTCCCCGACCAGACTTCAAGGAGGCTTTTGGTCTCTTTGACAGAGTTGGTGATAGCCAGGTGGCCTACAACCAGGTGGCTGACATCATGCGTGCTCTGGGCCAGAACCCCACCAACAAGGATGTTGTAAAGATTCTGGGCAACCCCAGCGCCGATGGTAAGACCCACTTTGCATGCACGCAAAATGCACAACTGCAGTTTAAGCTCTAACATGAAAGCATGTGTAATAACAGCGCCATCACGTGACTTTTTTCTACAGACTTGGCCAACAAGAGGCTCAACTTCGAAGCTTTCCTCCCCATGCTGAAGGAGGTTGACACCCAACCGAAGGGATCCTATGACGACTACGTTGAGGGTCTGCGCGTCTTCGACAAGGAGGGCAACGGCACAGTCATGGGCGCTGAGCTGCGTATCGTGCTGTCCACCCTGGGTGAGTCTCAAGTCACCTTCGCCAAATATAGAAGCACACAAATATAGTTTGCTTAGCATGCACGGTATGTGAAATGGAGAGCACGTTCTTGACATGGATCCTTGCACGCTACAGGAGAGAAGATGTCCGAGGCCGAGATTGAAGCCCTCATGGCCGGCCAGGAGGATGAGAACGGCAGTGTGCACTATGAGGGTAAGCTTTGATTTCCCAGCATTCCCAGTTGTTTGTTTTTTGGGTAGATATATTATGCCAAAGATTTTGACATATGGGGTTTTTTTTCTCCAGCTTTCGTCAAGCACATCATGTCTGTGTAAGAGGCCAGCAGTTGGAGTGCTGAAGAAACTGTAGCTCACCTACAGACAGCCCAACAGTGTTCAGGACATCTACACTGTGTCAAAGACCAACCAAGGAAAGACAAGGACTATGTACAAGGGATGTTGAAGCAAACCCATCTTGTTGTTTTATTTTGTTTTCCTTTCCATTTTGTCTAAAACCCTCCTCTCTCGGGACATTACCATCATCTCTCCATTGTAGACCCCCATCACTTGGCCTCTACTCCCCCCTCCCGGGGCATGTCTCCACTTACCGTATGGGGTGAGGAACGGGGGAGAAGGGGTGACCGCTCATCAAGTGAGGGTAGATCCCTCCCTTCCCACCGCCACCTCATTCAGTCACGCCATCACTGGCCCAGCAATGCCAAAGGTGCTGGGGAATGGTTGTGGATAGGCTGCCAAAAGTCTCCACTTCCCTGAAAAGTTTTATTTATTGTCACTCTGTTCATGTCAGAATAAACTTTTCCAACGTACATCCCATCTGGGTTGATTCTTGATCTTTCATTCTCCACATACAGTTGTAGATATGCAGAGATGTAAGAGTTAAAGCCCGAAAGTAAATAAATAATTGTCAGTTAAAGCCAGAAAGTAAATAAATAAATGTCAGTTAAAGCCAGGAGGTAAATGAATAAATGTCAATTAAAGCCAGGAGGTAAATAAATACGTGTCAGTTAAAGCTAGAAAGTAAATAAACAGAATAATAATATTATGTATATATATATATATATATATATACATTATATTATATATATAATAAACATTAATTCTATTTGCACACATACAAGGGATTGATTCCTGTTTAAACAGTGCGTACTGTGTGTGTGCGTGTGTGTATGTGTGTGTGTGTGTGTACACAGTCCACAAAGAACAGGAAGGTAGAAATAGACGTACAGCTAAAGCCAAGGAGAACAAAGCTGAACAAATATGTAAAAAATAAACACAACTGTTATACAAGCAGGAGAAGAAAATACAGGTACATATAAAGCTGCCTGAGTTTAGCTCTATGAGGATGAGCGGTATCATATTGTGGCTAAAGGTAGCTAATCTTAATAAAGTTTAGATAATTATATCTGCAAGGTTAGTTTATAATCTAAATGTATGCTTTTTGGTATTTGGATGATTTTATCCTGAGCCTATGTATAAAATATTGAGACTTGAGGCGTGCACATCAGGCACACTACCTAAACTCACATGCAGGTGGTGCCATTAAAGTTCAATTGAAAGGAGACAACAATTACTATCACATATAATGCCAATATAAATATAAACAAAAGGATAATCATTACATGACAATGTATTTTAAGAAAACAAACACTGAAACGTGAAAATATGCACAGAGAATATTAAAGACATTATAGTATATCATTATAGTATGTCAGATATACCCGATCATTTAGGGACATGTGTTTAAGTACAAACGGTGCAGGTTTTAGGTGCCATTTACTGCTGGACTTTCATTCTGCATCCTTCTGAAGCACATAGTTTGGTTTTAGTTCTCTTAACTTTAAGAGAGCCTGCCCCCTAGTGGTGTGATTAGGAAGTGGTCAGACTTTGAATATACAGCACCTCATTGTCACTTAAAAGCAGCAAATGTTTTGTTTCAACCGTTTTCTGCCAACACACGCATTCTGAAATAAATACATGTATAAGGCAGTGAAAGGTTTTTTATTTTATTTGCAAATTATTATGTCTAATGTCTCTTACTTCTCTTAGACATGACGGAATAAATTATATTTTATTTATTTATTATATACTTTTGTCTTTTTGAAGGATATAAGGTTATATAACAGGATAAAGCGAAGTCATGGTGATATTTATTTTTGATTTTATTTTTTATGTAATTTAATTTGATGTTTGTCTACTTGTTAGTGATATAAAGCCATGTCTGCGTACTCCGGTGCAGTAGGTGGTGATACATTCAAAGTCAACACAAAAAAGACGAGAGATGGCAGATATAAGAGGCCTCACTCTGCTGTTCCGAGTGTGAAAACTTTCTTTACCTTACGGGCAAAAAAAAAAAATGTATTAGTAATAATATGGTATCGACACAGAACCGAAAACGTCTTTACTTTGCGACACAGAGCATATGTTAATGGTTAAAACCTACTTTTGTAACGCGGGGGGTGGAGCCAGTGACTGACAACAAAGTGATAAGTCTTTACAGGAGCGTTCGCGTAGACGATCTTTGTCCCGTTTGCGTGTGTTTTTTTTCCCGTGATAGTTTGTTGCGGTTTTTTACTCACAAAAAAATGATCAGAACTTGTCTTTTAACCCTGAGAAATGTCTCCGGACGACGACAGGCGCTGTCTGCAGCCACTGCAAGGTAAAATTATTGCGCAGATAGTTTTAATGTTTAACTCGTATTTTGTTTAAATGGACATATGTCTACATGCATCCATGCACTTTGTTTAATTAATAAGTTATTTGAATGTGTTATGTGTATTATTCACAGGCTACTGCTACTATACTCTTAGATAATAGTATTGTAATCGACGTGCAGTCGTCCGTACACGACCTTTGACACACTTCCAGTATTGTGTGTAATCTGTTGAGCAGGTCTTGTAGTGATATTCAGTGTCAACATATGAACATGTTTTTAAAACTATATCTTAATTTATTGTCTTTAAGAAAGTTTTTCTTAACATCAAGTTATTATTCTGGTACAGTTATGTAAAAGTAAACCTTTTCCAGGCTCCAGTTTACAGGGTTTGTTACTTTCCTTTGTTTTATATAATAAACTGAATATAGTGACATTGGATGACATTAAATTAGGCTTTTGGAAGTTCTAATTGGCCTTTTTTAAGGGACGAAATGATAAAACAGGGAAAGTATCGACAGATAAGGATGTTGAAAATAATAATTTCAGCCCTAATTTTATGCTTATGGCAGCTTCTTAAATTTAATATCACACGTATAACCCATAATCCCCTGTTGCTTTACCAACATCAATTTATTTGTCATGGGTTGCCAAATCAGCCACTTGCTGGCTCCCCAGAAGACTATGATTGGTTGAATTTCTGCAACTCCTTCCAGGCTACAGCACAGTCAAGCCCAGCAGCAGCAGCCTGTCCCCTCGGCCCGTCCGGAGACCTCCAGTGCTAAAAGCCTGATGGACATCGGCACCCGCCGGATCTTCACCGAGGACCATGATCTCTTCAGACAAAGCGTCCGCCGCTTCTATCAGGATGAAGTGATCCCAAACCACAAGGAGTAAGTGGAATCAGTGCACAGGTTTGTTTGAGGTCACTGTTAGCATTTATTGTTGCAAAGTCAATCGGACTATTAAAGAAGAAAGGCAAAAGGAAAACAGAGAGGCTCGAAATGACCAGAAAAATGCATTAAGCAAACATAAAGAGACACAAAACAACCACAGAGAGACTCAAAATGACCAGAAAAAGGTTCAAAACAACCACAAAGACACAAAAACGACCACAGAGGGACATTAAATGGTCACAATGACACACAAAACAACCACAAATTGCAAAATGAGGCACAACTAACTCATGACTTAACCTTTTATTTTCAGTTATTCCCTGCCTCACTACAATCCCTTTTTCCTTGTTCCAGGTGGGAGAAGGCGGGCCAGGTGAGCAGGGAGGTGTGGGAGAAGGCTGGCGAGCAAGGCCTGCTGGGAGTAATGATACCAGAGGAGCAAGGTGGCATCGGAGGAGACCTGTTCTCTGCGGCAGTCACGTGGGAGGAGCAGTGAGTTGACTTTAAAATTAAAAACACAATTAAATCATCAGTCTCAACTCTTGACCCTTTTAACTGATCCACCGTTTTTGAGCTGCCTAACTGTTTCTTCATAGCTGTATGACTGGTTTAACTTTCAACCTACAGTGCACAAACTATTTATCTTTAAGGTGCGGTTTGTTTGTACAGCTTAGTTTTTTAGTCAAAAGCTGCTCGAAATATTTTGCACACCATTTAACTGCATATTGCATATAGTGTATATATGTTTCATTATAGTCCTATATTTTCTACTATATTTTATATATTTTTTTATTTTCTGATTCTTATTGTACTCTGTACTTTTTGCATTACATTCCCCTATGCTACTGTGTCTGATTTGAATTTCTCCTACGGGGAATCAATAAAGAAACATCTTATCTTATCTTATCTAGCTTTCTACTCTTTTTGCTAAGTCACCAGAAAATGGCACACATACTTACTTACACATCGTTAAAGAGAACACTTTGTGTTCTTAGCTAAATGACAGACAGTCCTAATGCATGAACCATTATGAATTTATAGTCAGTATACATTTTCCACTACACTTTCTTTTCTAAATGAGATTTTGTTTTTCTCCAGAATGTATTCCAACTGCACAGGCCCGGGTTTCGCCTTGCACGCCGAGATTGTCATGCCCTACATCAGCAACTACGGTAGCAAGGAACAGATTGAGCGCTTCATCCCTGAGATGGCTGCTGGGAAATGCATCAGCGCCATTGCAATGACAGAGCCGGGAGCAGGAAGGTCAGGACTCAAGTGTAAATCAGCAGCATGTATAGAATAAATAAAGTCTAGCTTTGATGACCAGTCAGGTTTTATTTTTTTTTTCCAGTGATCTTCAAGGTGTGAGGACGAACGCCAAGAGGGATGGCAGTGACTGGATCCTCAATGGCAACAAGGTACTGAGTCATAAAAGCAAAAACAGCCTTTTTATTGCATCTTTGCATCAGTTTGAACTATTTACCGTCTCAGGTGTTCATCACGAATGGCTGGATGTCAGACCTGGTGGTGGTGGTGGCCGTGACAAACCGCGAGGCGAAGACAGCGGCGCACGGCATCAGTCTGTTCCTGGTGGAGAATGGCATGAAGGGCTTCCAGAAAGGACGCAAGTTGGACAAGATTGGTCTGAAGGCCCAGGTACTGGAGCTCAGTGGCTTGGGAGACAGATCAATCTGCCATTCTGCTAGAGGACAAGCTAACGGTTGATCTCAGGACATTTTGTCTCTGTTGTCTCACTGTTTTTTTCTCCTTTCCAAAGGACACGGCTGAACTGTTCTTTGAGGATGTGCGGCTCCCAGCTGATGCCCTCTTGGGGGAACCAAACAAGGGATTCTACTACCTGATGAATGAACTGCCTCAGGTGAAAGAAACATGGAGAAATTTGCCATTTAGCATTCTCATGCCTTTTATTACAGAGGTTTTCAAACTGGGAGAGTTGAAGAGAGGGGGCGAAGAGGGAAAATTGCATGTGGTGAAAGGGACAGGAGCATGCCAGTGTCATTAAAACAGGTTAGCAGTTGGAGCTTTGCCTTCTCACCACTGGAGCTCATGGAGGCAAATAAGGTATTTTAAAACCCTTAACGCCTGCAATTTGCCCCGCAAGGTTTTAAGGTATGCTTAGAGCATGATTATCCCCAAAATAAAAGCAAGACTAAAGTGACATTATTTTATACAATATACTATGGATACAGTACAAAAACAAACATCGCAAAAAAATGGCAGTAAAGTCAGTAATATGATAAAGGAACCAAATGAAATCCACAGAGAGAGTCTTACTGAGAAGGCTATAGTGGCAGCTTTTATAGTGACTGGGAATATTGGGCCCAGGTGGACCGCCCAACACCTGCCAATTACATGAACCTACAAAAGAAGAACAAGGCACAAACAAACAGGCCAGAGCGCCATGCACAAACTTGTGTCAGTGTCTTTATTCAATTTATTTATCAATTAATTGTGTTGTTTCGGTTCATTTGATCATAAATCATTTTTTGATGTAGGAGCGTCTGTTGATTGCTGACATGGCCATAGCAGGTTGTGAGTTCATGTTTGAGGAAACCAGGAACTACGTGTTGCAGAGGAAGGCTTTCGGCAAGACGATCGCTCACCTGCAGGTCTGTATAATAAGCGTTTTTTATTAAGAAGTGTTTTGTTGTTGCTGTTTCAGCTGTGACTGGTTGCCAACATTTTCAGAATTGGAGGTTTAGGTTTCGGCACTGTTTGAAGTCTTATTCAGCTACTGCTTTAGATATTTTCGTCAAAGAATCAGAATTTTTCTTGAGGAAAATAAATATTGCATCTAATTTTACTCCACAGACTGTGCAGCACAAGCTGGCAGAGCTGAAGACTGAGATCTGTGTGGGCCGAGCATTCGTAGATAACTGCCTTCAGCTGCACGCTGAGAAACGCCTGGACTCCTCCACGGCTTCCATGGCCAAGTTCTGGTGAGAATGTGTCTTAAGCTTGTTCTTCCAACCAGCACCTAATCTCAAACAACAGACCACATTGCTGCCATTTGCTAATGTCATTTGTCTTTTCTTCAGGGCATCTGACCTCCAGAACAAGGTGGCCACTCAGTGCCTGCAGCTCCATGGAGGCTGGGGCTACATGTGGGAATATCCCATTGCCAAGTAAGTGTGTAAGAGGGTTGGTAGGGGTAAGTTTTATGAGGTATTCCAGGTTCAGACAAGTTGCTGAACTTGTGTTGCTGTCTTTTCAGGGCGTTTGTGGACTCCCGTATTCAGCCCATCTATGGAGGCACCAATGAGATCATGAAAGAACTCATTGCCCGCAGCATCGTCAGCCAGAAGTGAGAAATCGGGATGTTTTCAATGGTGGAGGAGCACTGGGGAAAGTTAGTTGGTTTGCACAGGCGTTTATTCGTAGTTGACAGTTTGTCTGAAAAGCGATTAAAGTATGTTGAACACTCGTGAAAAGTTAATGCAAAGAATTACAGAATGTAGTTTAACTGTGCTTAAATTCTTCAAATCAGTCGAAGGATAACTTTTGAAAGAAGAAATAACACTTTCAAACGCGCTCTCACCTAATTCAGTACACTCAGGGGTTTTGCAGCTGCAGCCATACCTGGCCTGGTATGACCAGTAGCCTCTTGTGACTAATGCTAGCTAATGTGAGCAAACTTTAGACGGGCTATGCTCTGACATCGCTGACTTGTTCTACTGCTGTGCTACAGTTTAGCATTTAGCATTCTGAGGTAATTGGAAAGGGCTCGACATTTTGACAGCAGGCTTCACAAAGGCTTCATTAAGCTCCTTAATCAAGGTTGAGTTCTATTTTAAAACTTTGACCTATTTTTATGTCCATTTACGACTCACCTGTGGATTGAAAAATAACAGGTTTCACGTGCACTCGGGACAAATTTTTGTAAGTAAATGTGTTATTTGTTGGTGATTGTACAATATGTAGCTACAGAAGACATTTATTTTTCAAATCTGTGTGCCTTTATGTCAGCACTGAAAATGTCCTACCACACCCGTCCTTAATCAAATAAAGACAGTATACACTATGCTTTACGGGCCACTTTTATTCAATCATCAGAATCATGGGCTGTTTTACCAAAGCATTGAGAATGTTTGAGACATATTACATATTAGTTATTTTACATCAAATTAAACATTGTTGAGTTGATTTTTGATAGCAGATGGTGCTACGTTTTCAAATTCCCTCCAATGTGTACATGCATCTCTGCTTTTGTTTTCAATACTTAAGGGGGCCGTATACCCTCACAAGGATATGAATGTTAAAAGTTCATGACCATTTTAGCTGAGAACTGACATAAGACTTGATGGGAGTATGTCATGGTGTGAACTAAGCATGTGATGGGAAGGGGTGAATTGTTAACAAAGGTGCATTAAATTGAAGAAAAACAGCTACCACTCTGCATTGTCCCATTCTCACCCCTAGGTGGCAGTACATTCATGTGCAAAGCTGGCAGAGAGATGACAAATGGCCAGACTTCCATTTGATTCCATTGCAGCACATACAGCAGGCACAAGCACACTGTTGAATGTGACAGGGTGATTTAAAGCATCTTTTCAAAATTTCAGCCTTATCGGTTTCAAGTTGGGGATGATAAGTACCACATTTTCATCAAATGTACTCTTTATTTCATTGCATTACCATGTATTCTTGTGGATCTGGTGCATCTGCTTGTAAATGCACAGCATGCCAGTCTGCCTCCAAAGTCTCCAAAAAAAAAAAAAACCATCAGTGCCAGCTGAGGAAGCAGACAACACCCCCACCACGCCTCACCTGGGGGGTGCAGGAGTGCAGCTACTGCTCATTCATGCATCTTCTACCCCTCCCTTCCCTTCCCTTCCTTTCTCCTCCTATCATTCTCCCCCTTCCTCTGTGTTTCCTCTCCTTCCTTTCCCTGCCCTCCTACCCACTCTCCCCTTGGCATCACATCCCACGTTATCCCCTTTCCTCCTCCTCCTCCTCTCTCTCTCCCCCCTTCTCCATCTTTCCTCAGCAACAGCCACACCCCGGTGCTCCAGCTCTGCACTCATTTCTACTGCGGACACAGTGCATCCTCATTTTCAGCAAAGCAGCCCAGTATGGTGTTGGGATGCAGAAGCCCTTTAAACAATGACTCTGCACTTCCCTTTGCACCTGCTGGCTGTCCTGCCTGGCTTCATATCAGTGTACATCTGTTTATTTCCGTGCATGTGTTACACATTTACACTCCAAAGATGTTGCACAAATGTCATACATCATCACAGGGAGGGTTTGCCTGCCATGCATGTTGCAGCCACATAATCCCGTTGCGCATACACTGCTGCACTTACGGTAGCTTCATTTGCTAGGGGAGGGATCAGAGGCCCCCATACCGCTCTCATTGTCACTACAGCTCTCCTCACTCACAAGGGTATTAGTGCCGCTCAGCAGCCTGAACCTGCAGGTAAGAGCTGAAGGTCTTTGTTTATCATTTACTGGGGGAAATTAGGCTTTATGATTGCTCAGACCAGCATGAATGTAGAGTTTCGGCATTTTTAATGCAACACTGGCAGCTGTAAAAGTTTCTAGAAGAAAAGCCAAAGTGTGTATTAATGCCGGCATTGCTGTCATTTAATCCTCAGCGGGTGTGTGTGTGTGTATGTGTGTGTGTGAGCGTGCGTCATGGTGTGATGTGCGGTTATGTGTGAAGAGATATGAAATGATCTCGACAGGGAGTTTGCAACAGCTTTTCAGTGAGGATGTGGTTATTTAACTTCTTTGTGCGTGAGAAAAATCCATGTTGTTTTTTTTTTTTTTTGCGGTGATTTCTGGCTGCCTTTCTGCGTCCCGGTGCGCCTCTCTCCTGCTGCAGCAGCCTGCGCCTTTTGTTCTGGTCCACGCCTGTATGGTGCTGAAACCGGCGCTGCTGCCGGCTGCTCGCTGCAGCACAGGGAGAGCAGACTGACCTGTGAAGAAAGACACTGAGTTGAACATGTGGAGGTGTAGATTATTTTAATTATTATTTTATTATTATATATTGGCTCATGTCTCGCCCGTGGCTTGTGGATATGGGAGTAGCCCAGTTTGTAGTTGGCATCTTGTCTGCCAGTTGCCCTTGCAGTCATTACCAGCTTGCATCAGCAAAAGGTAGCATGACTTGCCTTTGATATACATTTATTAATAACAGAGCTATTTTTAATAGAATTTGAATTCAAAATTCAAATTGATCTCAATAATTCTGTTACAACCAAACCCTGATTCGTTATGTCTGCAGGCTATAATGAAATTCCTGCCCTGATTGGTTATAATGTCTTTTTTCTATATTTACAGCCATAGATAATAATCTAGAAATATCCAGACTTCCATTAAGTATGGATCTGTTCCAAACCTGCCTCCTTTCAGTGTCGCCTCAGCCTCCACATGCCAGGGAGAAGCAGGAACCACAGATTTCCCATGTCTGGATGTGAAAACATTCCTTTATGAAAAGGAATTAACGCTCACATGAAACTGCACTCCAGTTTTTTTTATACTGGCACATTCCGATCACTGTCTCATAAGACTTCAGGTTCATGATAAATAATGAAAACGACACATTAATAATGTTATAATATGCTGATGATGTTGGATTTTGAGGAGAATCTCAGCCAACATGTAGGCTTTTTAGATCAATGGGCTTGCTCTTGGTTAATGATAGGGCTGGCTTTGACTCTAACCAAATGAGATTGAAGTGTTTATTTAACTGTTTATAGATTCCTCTTAGTAACAGGTATGTTTGCAGCTCATGCCTGTGTTCAGTCAGCTCTCTTCTTGGATAGAGATTTAGTAACCTGAGATGCTGTAGAAGTAGAGCGTAATACATCCCCTGGTTGAGTCCGATTGATTACAAAGTACAATAAATATGTAGGAATTTGTTTAATACATATCGACTTGCAGGGTTTCACAATGTACAGCTCCAACAGGCGGTGGCAGAGATTGCCTTTTGTGCCAGTGACAGGTGAAAAGAAAAATTATCTACTAAAAATAACCCTTTAAAATGTGTCTTTCTACCTTTTCCCATTGCTTTTCCTGTAAGAGTTAAAGACGGGACATGTATTAACAGTAACTTATATTGATTATTGCTTTAAGGCAAGCCTCAGAGGTGGTGAGTGTCAATTAACTTCACCTTCGATGCAAAGAATGTACAGAAAGATATACAGTATATACATGGCATGAACTGCAAACATTAATGAATTCCTTGCCCCGATGTCTTTGCCCATTTAGACTTAGATTATGTGTTTCTTGGCTCAGGCCAAATAGAGGTTGACAAAGTGAATTACAGTCGAGATGTACTTCTCCTGTACAAGCCTCCATCAGGCCAGATTGGGCTGAGTCTAATCACTGATGGAGTAATTGAAATGACCTTAATCACGAAACAGCAGGTTGGGTTTGTGTCTGTGTTTACGTGCATAAGCTATGAAAATACAACTCTCAGTTTTAATTGTAGTGTACTCCTTCTGTGTTCACATGAAATGTGTGTGTGTGTGTGTGTGTGTGTGTGTGTGTGTGTGTGTGTGTGTGTGTGTGTGTGTGTGTGTGTGTTTCATACGTTTAGCCACCTCTTGCTTTTCCAACCGCCGGGAAACCCAATCCACGTCCTTGCACCACGCGGGAACGTTAAGTATATTTCCCAACGTCAATTCTGGTTAGGTGCACAGTCAAAGTCCTGAAACCACAGAACCACTCTGTGCTCCACTGAAATCAAGACACACCATTTTGGCTGCAGCTTCCTTTTAGGGGCATAATTGTATTGGAACAATGTTTGGAATAAAGCTCATATTCTGGATTTGTTTGTGGATTGGTGTCAACTGGTGGTGATGTGGATATGTTTTGTACGTCTGCGTACATTCTGGTTTAGTGTCATGTGAGCACAGTGCGGTCTATTGCCATGGTCACAGGTGTTTGAGTACTCAGGATGCGTCTTTGTCCCGTCTGAGGCCTTTTGCACTACAGGTGTCTAATAGGAACTGGCAGAACTGTGCTTTAGTACATGATTAAGTCTTGACTGTGAGAGCGACCTAATCTAATTCACATACGTCAGAAGAACCAAACAGCCCACTGACCTCCATGTGAAGCCGACCCACACATACACACTTCAAACACACACCCTGCTTCATTGCATGGCACTTTTTTTTCCTCCAAGGCTGAACAGGCCAGGTGCCAAGAGGTTGGCTTCCATCCTCCTGTGTGTATAAAATGTGTTTATCAATAAAAGCAAAATCTGACAAAGAGAAATGGAACTGATTTATTGAATAAATCCCAACATCATGTAACGTCTCTCAAATTAATACATGAAACAAACGTGCCATATTTCCTTCATGTTTTCTACATAGTTTTTCACCGTTTGAGGTTTGACTGGCTTTCATTTAATTACATCATCTTGTTGTGCCCTCTTCTGCAGTGGTTTAATGGCGCCGACTGGAAAATTGCCACCACCAGCTGTTGGATCTCAATGAACCAACTCCTAATATATGCATAATGGTTTTCTTTTCCAATTTTCTCAAAATTCGGTTAAACTTTGCAACCTGGCAAATGACTTGCGCAAGGGCTCTTTGAAAAAATATGGCTTTTAAATGGACGTTATGCCAGCAAAAGCAAACCAACATGCTGTAACAACAGAGGTGAAATGGGACATTTACTTGCCAACCAAGAAAGCTGCTGAGCAGCTATGGTGACAAAAAACTTAGAAAACGCCCTACAGTTTCTGGATTGCAGCACGTACAATCTGCAGTCCAGATGTAGTTGAAACAGCTGTTAAAAGACCCATGTGTCTCACAAATTATAGACAGATTCTTGAAGTTCATTATTATTGAGCGGACCTCTCTTGTCGAGGACACACGTGTAGAGTTTATTGAGTTTGATAAACGCTGTTTATGTGGCACTAAGATCCATCCTGTGACCTCCTCGGTACAGGACAATCTCTCTAACCATTTATCCGCCCTGCTAGCCCTTGTACCATCTCCATCTCCAGCTGACTAGCAGCCAGTCTCCCAAACAAGCCCTGACAGCCAGTGTCATATTTCATTCCTCACGGA